CCTTCAAATTCAGGCAGAACTTCCAGTGCTTCAGTTTGTGCTCATGGCCTCTTAACCTGTCACTAGACACCACTGAAAATAGCCTGACCCATCCTCTTGACACCTCTCTTAAGGTATTTCTGTACGCAGAGAGCATCCTTCTCCAGATTGAATAGGCCCAGCTCCCTCAGCCTTTCCTCACAGGAGAGATGCTCTAGTCTCCTAGTCATCTTAGAAGCCCTTTGCTGGACTCTCTCCAGTAGCTCCATGTCTCTCTTGTCTTGGGGAGCCCAGGGAGAGAGGGAGGATCACCTCCCTCAGCTGCTGGCAATGCTCTTCCAAATGCACCCCAGGACATCACTGGTCTTTTGACCACAAGGACACTTTGCTGGATCATGGTCAACTACTTGTCCACCAGGACGCCCAGGTCCTTCTCTGTAGAGCTGCTTTCCAGCAGGTTAATCCCCAGCCTGTACAGGTGAATGGGGTTCTTCTTCCCCAGAGACATCTCTCTGTCTCCACCCATCTCTCCAGCCGATCCAGGTCCCTCTGAATGTCAGCACAGCCCTCTGGGGTATCGGCCACACCTCCYAGTTTGGTATTGTCAGCAAACCTCCTGAGGGAACATTCTGTCCTTTCATCCAGGTCACTAATGAATAAGTTGAACAATCCCCTACCCAGTATTGACCCAGCATATGGAGGACACCACCAGCTCCAAGTAGGCTCTGCACCTCCCATCACAAGCCTCTCAGCTCTGCCACTCAGCTTGTTCTCAGTCCGCTCATCTAGACCACTCTTTCTGAGCTTGTCTATGAGGATGTTATGGGAGACAGTGTTGAAAATCTTGCTGAAGTCAGGGTAGACAACACCCACTGCTCTCCCCTCAWCTACCCAGCCAGTCGTTYGGTSATAGAAGGCAAGCACATTGATTAAACATGATTTCCTCTTGGTAAATCCATACTGACCCACATGGACACTTTGTCCTCCACGTGCTTAGAGACAACATCCAGGAYGARCTGCTCCACCACTTTTCCAGGGATKGAGGGGAGACTGCCTGGYCTGTAATTYGCCRGACCCTCCGCCTCCTTCTTGCCCTTTTRGGAGACTGRCATGACRTTGGCTTTCTTCCAGGCTCAGGCACTTCTCCTGTTCTCCATGACCCTTAAAGGATCATGGAGAGTGGCCTAGCAATAAGATCTGCAAGCTCCTGCAGCACTCATGGGTGCATCCCATCAGGACCCAYGGATTTTAAGGCTAAGAGAGCTGGGCCTTTTCAGCCTGGAGAAGAGAAGGCTGAAGGGGGATCTGATCAGTTTATACAAATTTCTCAAGGGAGGCAGTGAGGAGGATGGGCCGGCCTCTTTTCAGTGGTGGACACTGATAGAACTAGAGGAAACAGCCACAAACTGAAACATCAAAAGTTCACAGGAGCTTAAGGAAAAATTTCTTAACAGTGAGGATGCCAGAGCCCTGGAACAGGCTGCCCAGAAAGGTTGTGGAGTCTCCTTCTTTGGAGATCTTCAAAACCCGCTTGGATGCCACCCTGTGCCACATGCTCTAGGTGACCCTAGAGCAGGAGGGTTGGACTAGGTCTCTAAAGGTCTCTTCCAACCTTAATGATTCTGTGATTTGTGGGCGTCAGATTTACCTAAGTGATCTCTAGCCTGATCCTCCTCAACAAAGGGAAAGTTCTCCTTTCTCCAGACTTCCTCCCTGGTGTCCACAGGCTGGGATTCCCGAGAGATGTCCTTAGCAGTAAATACTGAAGCAATGAAATCATTCAGTAGCTCTGTTTTCTCTATCTACTTCATCACCTGTGCACCTATCTCATTCAGCAGCAGGCCTGCCTTTTCTCCAGTCTTCCTTTGGCTTCTGATATATTTTTATAGGTGTCCCCTGAAGCCATRTGTGCCCTGTGAAGCCCTGCACGTCCCACGAAGCTGGGCATGTCCCAAGGACCCATGTGTGTCCCCAGCACAGCTCCCACGCTGCCCGGCAGCTGCGGGCGGGAGTCACACTTAYGCAAACAGGGCCCTGCACCTGCAGCGGTGGCTTCCAAAGCCCGYGCCCACACCGTGGGGCAGAGCTCGAGGCAATAGCCACAGTGCTCCCGTTTTGGGTTATTTCACCAAACACAGACAAACATAAGAATCCATTTTTTGGCGACCCGAATGAAAATATTTATTTCTCACGTGTTTCAGGCAGCTTCTGAGCCAGAACATCTCCTTTTTTTTTTTTTTTTTGATATCTATGTTCAAGATACTCCAGGCAAGAAGGAGTACACCAGGCTTCGGTTTGCCAACTCTGCTGCATGAGCAGTTCATGTCCTGGTGGAGGATGTGGTGCTCGGGACAGAGCTGGCTGATTTTACTAGTTACATAGGTTTACTATATCTGCAGAGCAACTCCCAGCTCAAAGATGTGCATGGGGTCTAGTCCTACCTATCATGGATCCTATCTCATTTCTGTGGCCTGGCTTCAGGTGAAACGGGTGCTGCTAATGGGTCTCACATTTAGTTTTGCTCCAAACTGAAGCCATGTCCTCTGGGTGACATCCTAGGGATGGGACAAGCCTGTCCCATGGCAGCCACAAAGGGACAAGGCTGGAAAGGCCATCTGCAATTGTCTCCTCTGAAAGCCTCTGCGCAGGGCAGGGGGTCACCTTAGGGTGCCAGCCTGGCCACCTTRGGGTGCAGCCTGGCGTCTGCTGTGGCCACCGTGGGGATTTTCTGCGCCGCTTTCCCACGCCTGGCATGCAGAGGTGACAGCGGAGGTCCTCGGCAGAGCCACGAGCCGTCCCCCCAGCACAGCCCTGGTGGCTTCCAGGGCGCAGCCAAAATAAATAGTYCTGAAGTACCAGCAGTGCCTCCACGCTGTGTGTCTCTGCTGAGGGAAGGCAAATACAGCTGGGATGCTTGGGATACCAAAAGCATTCGGCATCCAGAGTCTGAAAACACCATCGGCAGCACGTTTAACCCCTCCCCACTTCATCAAAAAGCCACTGCTGGATTTAACTGCAGGGGCAAAGAGGAGGGCAGAGGGGCTGAACTGCAGCAATGGCTACTGTTCTGCTGGGCTTGAGGCTCTGTGCAGCAAAATATCTGCTTGCAGGAGCGTTTTGCAGCCCCAGAGCCCAGAGCTGAGGGCTTCGCTGCCTCCTTCCCTGCGGCCTCAGCACTGGGATGCCGAGGGGTGCCGGGCAGCCGGGTTTCGCAGCCGCGCGGAGGCGGCCGGGGCTCGGCAGGAGCTGGCTCGGCTTGTTGTTCGCGGGACACCTGAGAAAGTGCCCGGGGCTGCGGGGAGGCTCGGCTATGCGCCGCGCTTGCACAAACCCATTGCGCCGGCACCTGCGCTTGGCCGGGAGCCGCGCAGCCAAGCCCTGTGGGGCACCGGGCACCGCTCAGGCTGGGGACGAGACTCGGGGGCTTCATCCCGGACGGGCCGCTGGTGTCCCTGTGGTGCATGGCACCGTGTGCAGGTGTTTCACCCCACCGCGGCGGTGCCCGCAGCCGAGCAGGATYAGGAGGGCCAGTCCTCCGCACGTGGGATGCCCTCGGACAAGTGCTGCTGGGTGGGGGCGATGCGCGGCACGCAACCGCCTCCCCCAGCTTTTGGGCAGCGGCCCACCAGGAAGCAGGCCAGGCCCGGCCGGAGAACCGGGCTATCCCGAAAGGGCAACGCTGCTGCCGGAGCCCATGGGAGGCACCATCCCGGATTGGATTTGCGTTAATCCCCTCCTAATCCGCGCAAGTATGCACCTCTGCCCAGCGCCGCGGCGCCCAGCGTGGCTCCGGGGAAGTCTCGCTGGCCGGCCCCAAARCAGCTCCCGTGGGTGCCCCGCCACGGCAAAGGAGCCCCGTCGTTGTAACACGGCCGGGTGGCAACAGGCCACGCACAAGGACTTGGTGGCCAGTGCCAGGGCTGCCGGTCACCTCCACACATACCAGCAGGCCGTGCACTGGGCACCGGGAGGCCGCGGCGCCCGTGCCGCGGGGTGGGCGGCYGGGCTAATCCTCCCCGCAAATCCTTCCTCCCCCCGCTGCGGCGGGAGCCCCCGCGCACACGCGGCGGGCGCACGTGGGCCGCGGCGCCGGGCTGCACGTGCACTGGGTTGCGCGGGTGCCGCGCGCGGGGGTGTGCTTCGGCGCAGGGTGCGCGCGGGCGCCTGGCCCAGCGGGCACGTGCCCGTGTGTGCGCACGCACGTGCCCCGGTGCCCGTGTGCTGGGCGCGCGGCCCGCGGGTTCGCATGGGCAGAACACGGGCCGGGCGCCGTGCGGCCCTATGGCCTGGCTTCGGGGTGTGCCCGCGGGAGCCGTGTCACCGAGTGCCACATGCCGCAGCGCTCCCTGTGCCTCACGCTGTCCCCAAGCCCCCACGCTGTCCCCATACCCTCAYTGTCCCCAAGCCCCCATGCTGTCCCCATACCCTCATTGTCCCCATGCCCCACGCTGACCCCGTGCCCCTGTGCTCCCCGTGCCCCATGCTGTCCCCATGCCCCACGCTGTCCCCACACCCTGTCCCCATGCCCCACGCTGCCCCCGTGCCCCAGCACTCCCCGTCCCCCTCACTGTCCCTACACCCCATCGCCATCCCCATGCGCCAAGCGGCCTCCTGCCCCCACGCTCTCCCCAGCCCCTCGCACTGTCCTCGTGCCCCCAGTGCCTCATGCCCCACACTGTCCCCGTGTCCCACCGCCATCCCCACACTGTCCCCCTGCTCCTCACTGTCCCCGTGTCCCGCAGCTATCCCCATGTCCCGCAGCCATCCCCACACTGTCCCCCTGCTCCTCACTGTCCCTTGTCCCACCGCCATCCCCGCACCTCCATGTCGCCCCAAGCCCCACACTGTCCCCTGC